GAAAATCAGTAAAAACTATCTACCCCAAAATTTTTTATGGATCATCTTCAAACTTCACAACAATATACTAGACCTTGGGGGATATGAGTACCTAGGTTGGCTAAGCATTTGACTTTGACCTTCATTGTCAGCACCCAAGGTCAAAGTTGACCTTGAAAAATTTTGTTTCAAGAAACCATATCAAGTAATATATTAGTTGAAGGACATGCATAGGGCTGTACAACACTTTTTTTTCCTTCAATATGACGCTCTACAAGGTCACAATGATGGCATAAAATGTTTTAGTGTAGCCCTTGCCCTTCAGAGGGAGTTGCGCTCTCTGAGTGCTTTTGTTCGAGTCCTGTGACACCTTTAAATCCACAGGTCTCTCTGGCTTGATAGTACAATACACTGCAAGCGACAGTATGAAAACTGTGAATCCACAGCTAGAAGGAGAGCCTTTTGACTGTTGAGAGAAATTGCTTTTTCACTTCTGTTTGGTTACTTTTTGCAATTCATGTTCACAAACTCGCTGTGGGGTGAACGGCAATTTGACACCTAAATCTGTATGTCAGACTCTCTTGTATGATGTTCACAAGGAAGAATTTGCAAAACAGGACCTGCTTGCAACTGTCAACGAATGTTTCAAGTCTCTGCATGTTAACAATCCTTAGTTACTGGTATTGATTTAAATCAATCAAATAAACCTAGCTGGTTTTTAACTGCCACCAAGAGATACTGGATCTCATGCAGGTTTTAAGTCTATGCAGGTTAACGCCTCTTAGTGGGTAAATAGTAATTAATGAAAGAAAACCTTCAAAACATATATGACATATTTTGAAGAATGGCCAGGAGCAAAATATTTAAAATAGCTTTTTAAAAATGTGCTAAAATGTTGCAACTACTTAAAACCAAGCAAAATATATTAAAATCAAATAACATCAAGTTTTTGCCTCCCTGTCCTGCAAGGGTTCTTATTTTTGGTGGTGGTATCAACACAGAGGCCTGCTAAGTTTCAGCCAGGGTCGCTGCTTTGGAGGAATGCTGACCTCCATTGACTCGGGTGTCTCTGTGAAGTCTGCACCCCCCCCCTAATACAACGCCATCCATGTCCTTTTGGGCAGTGTGGAACAATGGGGAACATATTATTTACCTTGTTGTACAGGCAAAGCTATTATGGTGCCTGTGAATAGCCAAAGAACCTGGTCTTCCTTTGTAGAGGAGTTGATTTTAAAGCCGCTGTACTTGTGCAAGCTGAGAGGCATATCTGATTATCACAGAAGATTTTCAAGCTTCAGATGTGAAACACAATGGTTCGGTCCACACACACCAGATTCTAGTCTTAGATAATGAAGTCACACTGACAGCACAACAGAGCAGAGTATATCATCTGACATTCTCAGCACAATGTCAAAGGGAAGATGATAGCCTTTCCTTATGGATATGTATGTTCACATTTCCTCACAGATTATGACAAGAGTCCTTCTATGTCCTGCACGTTTATGATGAAGAATGAGTGCTGGGCGTCATTTAAAGTGGTGGAAAGTGAGACGGACACCACTGCCTATGATCTGCAGATGTACGGTAAGCTTGACACCAACGTAGATGACTAACGTGAAAGATACTCCCGGTGCAAGTCTCATCTCGCTCTCATGTCCTGTCTCAGGATGTCCAGAGCCACCCAACATCCCCATGATTCTTCTCGGGGTCTCCCTTTCTGTCGTCTGTATTGGCCTGATCCTGCTGGGTGTGTGGAAGGTGTTGGTGTCAGTCCATGACCAAAAGGAGGTGGCCAAGTTTGAGGCTGAGAGGGCAAAGGCAAACTGGCAGTCGGTAAGACCGTGGATGACTTCGCTTCTATTCTTTTTGTTGGGCTCAGATGAATAATTAAAAAGCAAAATAATGTATTAGACATTCATTAGATATTCAAAAGGGTGGACAAAGTCTGATGGTGAGTTGTCTCTCATAACTAAACTGTTCCCACTAATATTCACTGACGTACATCCCGTGACTCGGTAGCTTGTAGAAACACCTTTGGCAGCAATAAATAGAGAAAGAAATTCTGTGTGACTTTATCAGTCTCTAAGATTGTTGCGGTGGAATTTTTGCCCACTGTTTTTTACAACTGTGCTTCAGGTCATTGGGGCTTGTAGGTATTCATTAATGCACAGTCACCTTTTCCACTCTCTATGTGTTTATACACGTCTCTGGGTTTAATCATTAGTTATTATTAATCTCCGGCTCTGTTCCACAGCATCTCTTTTGTCTTATCTTCCTCCCTTCACCCCAACCGGTCGCGGCAGATGGCCGCCCCTCCCTGAGCCTGGTTCTGCTGGAGGTTTCTTCCTGTTAAAAGGGAGTTTATCCTTTCTATTGTCGCCTTGCTCATAGACAATTGTGTGATTGTTGGGGTTTTCTCTGTTGTATTGTAGGGTCTACTTTACAATATAAAGCACCTTGAGGTGACTGCTGTTGTGATTTCGCACTATATAAATAAAATTGAATTGAATTGAACTGAATAGAATAGAATTGAAAAGTTACTGTAACAGCATTTCAGGCAGGTCGAGGTCTGGACTTTGGTTTCAGCCATTCTGTTGTAGATTTACTGATCTACTTGGGATCACTTGGGCCATCTCTCTGAAACTTTAGCTGTCAGAGAGATGGCATCACATTTGACTCTAGAACACTTTGGTTTACAGAAGAGTTCATGGTGGACTCAATGACTGCAAGGTGCCCCGGTCCTGTGACTGCAAACCGAGGCCAAATCATCACCCCTCCACCACATTGTTTGACAGTTGGTATGAGGTGTTTGTGCTGATATTCTGTGTTGTTGTTTTTTCCAAATGTGGTGCCGTGCATTACAGCCAAACATCTGCACTTTGGTCTCATCTGTCCACAGGACATTGTTCCAGAAATCGTGTGGTTTGTTCACATGCAACTTTGCAAACCTAAACTGTGCTGCCGTGTTCTTTTTAAAGAGAAAAAGAGGCTTCTCCTGCAACCCTTCCATACTTGTTCAGTCTTTTTTTAAACTGTGCTATCATTAACTTTAACATTAAACAAGCTCACTGAGATTTCTGATTTGGGCCAAATGAGCTTCAGGCAGTTTGGAAGGTTTACAGGACTAGTGTGTTGTTGGTTTTCATCTTTCTGTGGCATCTGTAAAAATCTAAACGTCACTGTGTTCTTTCTTTGTTTAATTTCAGGGAACCAACCCTCTGTTCAGGAGCTCAACATCTACATACAGAAATGTAACTTATAAAAATGCACAGAAAGAAAAGACTATCACAATGAATCACTACTGATGACGAACTGGATGCGTCTGAGTGCACTTAAGTGTGTGACTTTGTGTGTGTATGAGACAGAGAATAGTTTTTGTACAAATCCCTGAGTTAATTCAGAGATGTCCTAGCACAGTAGACGACACTGTGAACAGACGAACACTGCGAGATGAATTTGCTGCTGTAGAAGTGCACTGTACTGTCAAACACTGGACATTTCTGTTGCATGGCCCTACATGTACTGCAACTTGGAACTTGGAAAGGAGAAGTCTACACTACAAGTGATCTACTACTGAATGAAAATGTATAAATATACAGGTGTAATAATGTGTCTATTGTTTTACTGTAAAACAAGGCTGAGCCTTTAATTTTAATAACTGTTGTTCTGAGTTTTTTATGGTATGTGGCACATAATTAAAGTTGGATTTGGCATTTGTGAAATGACTCCTCTGCAATTCTGGTTTTAATTGCAGATTACAACACAGTTCTCACAAAGAGTGAGCACACTGATTTGATTTACCTGCGAGAAACAAAATTTAAAGTTTGTTTTGCTTACAGTGGGATCACTCAGTGCTCAGGGTTTCCATTTTCTAACAAGGCAACTTGCCCTGGATACTAAGGCCCTTTATTCAATGTGTGTCAGTTTGATCACTTGTTTGCAAATCTGACTGAAATTGCAATAAGCTAGGGTGCTTTATTTATCCCCACAGGTGGGAAATTCCTTTCACACACAACCTTTAACTTAGTATAAAGGAGCAGGTTTCATAGGGATGAGGGGATGGGGAACGGGGCTGGAACAGAGGAGGATTCAGCGCAAATAACCAAAGTGATGTTGATCGAGAAGGACTCAAGGTCTCACAGTACAGAGGCTCTGGCTGTCCCATAGGACAGGGAGACCAGGAAGGAGACAGAAGTGATGGTGATTCAAGAGACAAAGTAGAATTTGAAGGCAAAAACAGGAATAATCAAGCAAACAAGGCCAATGTGTGCGTGTGAGCTCAATGAAATAAATAATTTGCTTATAAATCAATTAAAATACAACTTCCAACATGATAATATACAAGAGAGTCACCTGTGAAATGGAGCTCTCCAAAAGCTTAACTTGCAGATACACGTGAATCCCAACGTAAATGTCTCAATATCCTAAAATAGCCAGAGGAATCCTATCATAAAAATAATACTAATCCAATACAGAGTGGCACAAAAAAAATAATACCATAAACTTCACATAGAGAGTTGTTAAAACTTTTGAGAGATCCTTGCCATACAAGGTGCAATATAAGACATATTTTAGCAGCAACTGTTGTTATAGGTGTTTTTAGCTATTCCAAAGTTGTGTACCTTTACAGGTCACACCAAAACCTGTACACTTAATTTTGTTGTTTTTTTTACGTGTTATATGTGTTGGAGGCATTACACATTGTGACAAGCATACAATGTCTTCTGTTAACTCTAAATACATTATACAGAACAGAGGCAATATTAAAGATAGATGTGCTTAGCATAGCCTAACTCCAGAGTACTTGTTGATATCTGGGTGCCTGTCCCAGACATGACACAGCTGTAGGCTACAGTTTGCTGTGTGTAGTTTACCTGAGAGCAGTCTGTTCACAGTCATGTACTTTACACAGCTTACAGACAAACTGTCTGTCTGCCCTCTGTCTGTTTTTTTCTTCGGTCAAGTCTAAATACAGACTTGTGGCTCTGCCCCAGCGAAAACAGTCCTGAGCGGCAGGAATGCAGCTTTCAGGCCGGACAGCAGCGGCTCCTCCGTCAGACGTGACGTCGCTGCTTCCCCGCTGAAAAACCAGACTCGACGGAGGAAGTTTTTCTACGAGGGGAGGAAAGAAAGAAAGAAAGAAGAAGGGAAAAAAAGAAACCCCCAAAACACCCCCTGCGCCTCTGATCTTCGGAATGTGCGGACATTGGCTCTCCAACGCTGCATCCCGCTGTCGAAATGTTCATCCAGTTGTACCGCTGCGTGGACTCCGCGCCTGTTCTGGCGATTATTTGCGTGACTGTGTTGTTGGCGAAAAACTGTGTGTGTGTCACTGAAGACGAGGACGATGAAGTCCTGGAGAAAAAACAGCTCGTGGAGTTTTACAGTAAGTTACCAGCTGGTCCCTTAGTAGAAGTTTAATTGCCTACATGATGGGACGCACAACGCATGTAGTAGTTCCCTTTTTTCATATTTCATGAAGATGTTGTTTAACATCAGGGAATTGTGCATGGAGGGGGTGATCTAAAGACTCACCTAAACTCTCCTCAGGTCTGAATAGAGGTCTGTGGACCACAGTTTGAACCCCACAGCTGCACCAGGCTCACATTTCTTGCTGTTTTTTTCTCAATCCCCCCGTGTTTGTGTGTGTGTGCATGTGAGCATGCAGTCTGTTTATTATGAGCACAATAGGCCAGTGATAAGCAGTTGGGTTATTCTGGGAAAATGTCAAACATTCACCTTTGCATGTGTGAGACTGTGCTGATTTTCTCCATCTTTCGCCATCTTACATCCCCGCGTTTTTGAGAGCTTTGCATCATCTGGCATGTTCCAGCTTCTTAAATGTGAAGATCTGGGCATGTTTAAACGACGAGTTAGTCAAAAATATCTGCAACTTACTGAACTGTAAGGAAAGTTATGAGCAGCAACCACGGTTTGTTCACTTTTGTTCAGATCAGCCCATGTTCTCGTCCAGAATGCAATCAAATACAGTGTGCGCATTAAAAACGCAGATGAAGAATATCTGGACACTGAAAATGCCCTTTTGGTGATGGATGTGCACACCAGCATCTTTTTTTTTTCAAACCAATTGAGCCATGTAAATTCTCAGCGAACAATTTTAGTTATTTGTTTTAGATCCGGTAACATATTGCTGATTTTCTTTGTCTGTACAAACTAGCAAGATGCAGGAAGAGATGATTCCCCACACTCTTTTCATCTCCGCTGCTTGAAATCATCCTCTTTGTTTGAGTATCTAGTTACAAAAGACCATGATTTGTTTCTAAACACAAGGCCTTCCTCGAGCTTGAATATTGCTCCGTCAGATATGGAAATGCGGAAAATCATGTCTTTGTACTTTACTTTTTGAACCGGTTTTATCTCTGAAGCTGAATGCATTCCCTGTTGTTTACGGCACACGTTCACACGAATTGCCCCACATTGCCCCGTTTTATCCGCTTCTCCTCGTCTCTCAACCACTTCCTACCAGAGAAAGGTCTGTTTATCCTGGAGAGTGAGCCGCTGAAGCAGTGCATCTCAGCGAATCGCTCGAAACTAGTGCTGGAGGACTGCGAGCGTCCGACGCGCCGCATGCTGTGGAAGTGGGTCTCCCAGCATCGTCTCTTTAATCTGGGCACCAGCGCGTGCCTGGGCCTCAACATTTCCGACTCGACGCAGCCCCTCGGGATGTTCGAGTGCGATGTGTCCCTCCCCGTGCTGTGGTGGCGCTGCAACGGAAACACGCTGTATGGAGCGTCCCAGTGGAGGGTGACTGTGATTCGAGGTTTAGTGGCGGTAAAGAAAAACATTTACCATCAGTGGAAGAGGTACAACACTCCCAGAGAGGGTCCCTGCTCATATCCATATGAAGGTAAACAACCCAAAACTTCCTGTGTGCCTTGCCTGCACAAGATATTTCTGACCTCAAGTGAAACTTGGCATGTTTTGTTTACAGATATCCACACTCTGTTGGGGAATGCACATGGAATGCCTTGTGCCTTTCCTTTTAAATACAACAACCAATGGTACTCTGAGTGTACTACTGAGGGGCGTGAGGACCATCTTCTGTGGTGCTCAACCACCCCTCGCTACGATAAAGGCGAAAGATGGGGCTTCTGTCCAGTGCAAGGTAAACCAGACACACAGACGCACCAGTGCAAGAAAGGAAGACAAGTCATCACAGGCCGTTGTTGTTGCGTGCTCATGTTATCTTTGTCACTTTACCTTTGTGCTTATCAGTTTTCATTTGTCTGTTTTTTCATAGTTTCTGGTTGTGAGCACTTCTGGGAGTCAAACCAGGAGTTGCGTGCATGTTACCAGTTCAACCTGTACACTATCCAAACCTGGAGTCAGGCGCTGTCTACCTGCCAGGCCCAGGGTGGAAATTTGCTCAGCATCACCAGCCTGGCAGAGCACAAGTATATCAGAGGTACCGCACATGTTAAAAAGGACACTAGAACTGTTTTTATCTAAGATGAGTGCCACCCAGTGTGGTCTTCTGCTGCTGTAGTGTTGTGCATTCAGAGATGCTCTTCTGCATACCTTTGTTGCAGTTACCTGCATTACTCTTGCCTTTCTATGAGCTCAAAGCAGTCTTATCATTCTCTGTTGACCTGTGGAATCACAAAGGCATTTTCATCCATACATTCACGTTAAACTACCTTTCTTCCCCATTCTAATCATTCTCGTGAGCATGTGCACATGTCTACATGCATTGAGTCGCTGCCATGTGATTGGCTGATTAGATATTTGCATTAACAAGCAGCTAAACCGGTGTACCTAAAAAGTGTCCCATGAGTGTATATTCAGTTATGTCCGAAGTGTATTTTAAGAACTACTACAACACTTTTCTGTGTTTGCATCTTGTGGTAGATCGAATGGCGAGCGTTGGGGCGATGGTGTGGACCGGGCTGAACCACATTAAGGATGGGCATGGATGGCAGTGGTCTGACGGAGCCCCTCTGTCACTGGTGAATTTCACCACAGGTACTGACTACTGGTTTATCCAGGACCAAGTGAGAGGGAAATTTAAAAAGTACCCCGCATTTTCACTAATGAGAATATTAGAAATGCCTCTCCAACAAAGGCAAAAAAGAAGTCATTTTATCATGAAAATAAAGCATAAAAGACTTATTTTATAAAACCTATGTTATAGAAGTTTCATCTAAAATAGCCTTTTCATCTGATGTACATCGACAGCTCTGTCAGGACTTAAACATCCTTCCGTGTTAACACTTTAATGTTTAAATATGTCTAACTGCAAAACTTTAACTTGTGTAACTGATGAGGAAATAAAGCCAACAAAGCCTTTTTACCATTTGTGCCCGTCAGATCTCCCAGCCAGCCCGCTACAGGACAATAAACAGTGTGGTGTGTACTCAGGATTCGAGGGTCACTGGCAGAGTCTATCCTGTGAATCTGCTCTGCCTTACATCTGCAAGAAGACACCTAACGGCACCCGTGGAGCTGAGCCACTAGGTGAGAACACGTTAACGCACAGGACACAAACATATTGGAGACCTCTCTGCATCCTTGGAGGTATCTTACACAAAACAAGCTGTGCTGTGCCCTCACATATCTGAACCCCCAACATCCAGTTTGTTTGAGTTACATGATCAATGCATGCTTGTGAGGGTAAGGCCAGCTGCAGTTCAGCTGGACTCTGGCACATGACTCTATCCCTGCACCAACATGGATCTCAGATGTTTCCACAGCCATAGCTGCATCTCTAAATACTGCTTTTTTAAGTAAGAAATTTAAAAAAAAAAGTATAGGGCAGTGAGAGTGCAAGCCAGGGGAGGAATGTGGACAGGAAACGGTCGTGCTCGAGCTCAGTACAAGGCAGCTGCGTCCAGTGTGAATATGCCCTTAGAACGTGACTCGGCAGCTGCACTGCACCTGGGGGCCGAACCTTTGGCCTTCCTCTGTGTTGCTCTGTTGGCAGCTAGACCAAAAATAATGTCTGCAGCTTTGACTATTCTTGTCTGGCTTATGTCTCCTCTCCCTTTGCAGAGAACTGGCAGTATATTGATACCGAGTGTGCGGATGGCTGGTGGCCTCACAATGGTTTTTGCTACCGAGTGCTGCCAGAAGCAGAAGTGGGAAGCTGGGCGGAGTCTTCTCAGGAATGTCATTCTTACGGGGCAAATCTCACCAGCATCCACTCCTTGTCTGAGGTGGAAATGCTGGTCAACCTCCTGGCTAACTGTAAGGAGTGTTATGCAATCCAGATATTTCGTGCTATGTTTGTTATCTACCCTAAATGCTAAATTCTGCGGTGTGTGTGTGTGTGTCCTCATATTTGACAGATTCTGGGGGGAGTACAGAGGTGTGGATTGGACTTTGGAAACAGGCGTTATTGCCAGCTGTAGAGTGGTCTGATGGCTCACCAGTAACTCTCACTCTCTGGCACCAGTATCACCCTCTTCATAACCTGACGGATGGAACACTGTGTACTAAAGTGGACAGGAAGGTGGGAAACCCTGTGTTGGTGTAAGAACGCTGCAGTATTTAAATTTCTGATTAAGCTGCCCGTTTAAAAAACAAACAGACATCTAATTAAATGAAATGTTAAATATGCCCACTTCTAGCCTTTTATTATTACCAACAGTTGAACAAAGGATATTTCACCCTAATCTATTACCAGGAAAAGTGCCAATCTCATTTTTCAGTAGTTGAATGCATTTCCATCAGACTCCATTAAAGCAGGTTTTAATGGACTCATGATTAATAAGCTACAGAAATAGCCGCCAATTTATTCTCTGTCAATCAGCTAATAAATTAACCATCTAATTATGTCAGGGTTAATCACTTTATAATGTTTGAATGCATTCATCACGGAACGCATCATCTTTGAAAACATCTTTCACAGAGTGGCAACTGGCTGCTAGCGTCATGTGACGAGCGACTGGCTGCTGTGTGCAGAAGAGAGAGCCAGAATGGCGTTCAGCACCATGGAACCTGGGATGAGGGCTGTCCTGAGGTAGGGAAACAAGAATACCCACAAACACACACAAGTCCAAATGTGCGATTAATTTGAGCAAGATAAGAGAAGTCATCTTTTGGCAATATGTGAGCTTTAAACTTTGTCACATTATATGATGGCATGACACTAAAACGACCGCTGATAAGCATTTACTCACAGCAGGGCAAAGCTGAGAAATCAAAAGAAACATCTACAAGACTTTGGGTTAGAACTGAACCATTATGGTACTTGTCTTTACTTTTAAACATGAAAGTATTGCTTTTTTCCAGTAAAAATTAGCTATATAGTGAACATTGTAATTTTAATCTAGTCATTAGTATTTAAGTATTTAGATTTTTTTAATTCTGATGAGAAACTTGACATTAAAAAAACAACTTATTTCTAGTTTTTCAGGCATATTGTGTGCTGTGTAGCATTAAAATAGCTCCACAGAGATCAGGACTTGCGTTGGAAAGTGCCACATGTCTGCTGTGGTTCAATTTCAGGGCATTCTGCTCCTTCAAATGCACAATTAGCTGAGTCATTCAACCTCTGACGTGTTGTCTGGCATGCATGTTGCTCCTTGACTGTGTTCAAAGGAATATCAGACTCCTGAGTCATCAGGGTGCTTCATGCCCTGAAACAGGAGGCCAGAAATTACCCCGATGACACAGTATCAGTGGACATGCTCGAGTAGTTTGTGAATTTTTCTGACAATGTTTAAAGAATCAAAACAAACTAGACAGGAAACAGGAGCGACGGGGGGGATGTGGAGGTTTTCTCACCTCTTGTCCAAACACGCTCACCACATTACACACACATGCACACGCACAGGCGTGTATTCTTGCTGATATGCATATTATTACAGTATTATCGTGTTAGAACAGATGTAACAGGTGAGTTTTAGCAGTTATGCCAAAAGGATATTTTATTTAACATAACTGGCTTAAATGCGATTTTTATAAGGCAGATATAAAATTGGGCGTTTTTTTTATTCTGATTGTTGAATGCTTTAATTATGACATATCGTTTGACTTATTTATCAGCCAGTATTAGTTACACTATATTGCTAAAAGAAGCAGTCTGCGTGTTGGACCAAAGAATTGATTGTGGACTTTAGGTGGACCAGGAAACCCTTGATCCCTGTTTCAATCCAGGGGTCGATGTGGACATTGTAGAGGACTATAAATACCTCCGATTACACATAGATAATAAACTGGACTGGGTTAAAAACACCACTGCGCTCTACTGGAAGGGCCAGAGTCGTCTCTATTTTCGGAGGCGGCTGAGGTCTTTTAACATCTGTCCGACAATGCTCAGGATTTTTTACAAGTTGGTTGCGGTCAGCGCTGTCCTCTATGCTGGTGCATGCTGGGCCAGCAGGTTGAGGGTTGCAAATGCCAATAGACTCGATAAACTTATCTACAAGGCCAGTAATCTTGTGGGGACGGAGCTGGACTCCCTTAAGGTGGTGTTGGAGATCCGGATGTTGTCCAAGATAAGGACAATGCTGGATAATGCCTCCCACCTTCTCCATGACGTGCTGTCCAGTCACAGGAGAACATTCAGTGAAAGAACAAAGAACAACACAGGAAATCAATCCTGCCCATCTAATCCACACTACAGAGTGCAATAGTTACATCCTTTTGCACGCGCTCTACAGTAAAATAGCAAATCACAAGTTTTACAGGTTAGAGTAAAATGTCAATCTGTGTAACTGTAACCACATAATTTCATTAGGGATTAATAAAATATTGTGATTCTGATTCTGATGATTGATGAGAGCAGAGTCAGGCAAAGCCAAAACAACTAATCTACAACTTGTAACAATTAAACCAGATTATTTTTAAACTTAAGCTTGTGGGGATAGGTTAATTGTTTGATTGTTTGATTATTTTTAAACTGCTCTGTCGTCTTATCTTAGCAAGGACTCATAAATAGCAACACATAACAAATGGTAGGAAAATCTATTTATGTTTCATGTGTCTGAAAGAAAAAGATATCGGCTGACATATTGTCTTCTTATGTCACCAAATATCTACATCGGTTTTGAAATTAGTCAGTCACCCTATCTGTCTCTGAGTGATCAGTGCCACCTTTCAGTTCCTCGAAAGCTACAGACACATTTCAGTTGTTCACTTTTAAATGATTTAGTTTGTAAAATGCCTTAATTTGTGTGCACAAGCTTAATTTTTGGAGATTATAGAGAAAATAGTAACTGTAGCACTATTTGGCTGAAATGATGTTTTCAGTGGCACAGAAGAAGCATCTCAAATTCTGCCTGTGCTGACTGATCTGTTAATAAAATCTTCATTTTTTTTCTAAACCCTGAATGTATTGTCCGTGTGTAATAACCGTATATGTAACTACATCAACCGATCGAGCAGCATGATAATTAGAGATTACAGCCTCTGCGGTAAAACCAAAGATCAGTTCCAAGCACCAAAACAATAACTGCAATGTTTTTTCCAATCTCGTGTTTTGGAAAACCTAATTTTTCTTTTTTTGGTTAACAGTAGCGGCTTCGAGTGTGGTCTTCTGCTGCTGTAGCCCATCTGTTTCAACTTTCTATGATGTGTAGCAAATACAGAGATGGTCTTCTGCATACTTTGGTTGTAACGAGCGTTTGTTTGAGTTACTTTTGCCTTCTTACCAGCTCAAAGCAGCCTGAGAATTCTCATCTGACCCCTAACATCAACAAAGCATTTTCTCCCAGAAAACTGCTGCTCGTTGGATATTTTCTCTTTTTTTCTGGACCGTTCTATGTAAACCATGGAAATGGTTGTGTGGGAAAAAACCCAGCAGATCAGCAGTTTCTGAAATACTCAAACCAACCCATCTGGTACAAACAACCATGCCACGTTTAAAGTCACTTAAATCACCTTTTCTCTCTACTGTGTTGCTCAGTTTGAATTCTGCAGGTCATTGTGACCATGTCCACAGGACTAAATGCACTGAGTTACATTTAGATTTTTGCATTAACGAGCAGTTGAGGAGGTTTGCCTAATAAAGTGAAACGGGACTGTATGTGTGAAACTGTCATACTTTTACTGACATTACCATAACAATGACTCTAACAAATTATACGAACTATAAATCTGTGTGCAACAAGTACAGAAATGTATAGAAAGCCATATTCTGTTGCAGTCTGTACTGAGGTCCTGACCACTCGTGTCTACACGTCAGGGATCATTATTCACTATAAGTAAATAATAGCTGCTGTGCCATGTGCTTAAATATACCTTTCAGCTTTCTCTCTCTGAAAATCCCGTTGTTTTATAAGAGCTGCCTCGATTTAATAAAGAGAGGAAAAAAGACTCCTACAAACAGCTGTAGGCAACAACCAAAATGTCAGCTCCTGTTAAGCTTCTGGCTAAACCTGGATTTGAATCAGTGGCATGAGGGGATGATTGTTCAGCCTCATTAATCTAACCTGTTATGGCATCAGGGACATTTCAGCGAGTAATAGATGGAAAGCTGTAGAGCAAAGCACATGAGGCAAAACCCGACAATCTGTAAACAGAAGCACCATGCATATTTACCTCTATCGCTGCTCTTTAGATAGTTTATTGAACAGGAGTGCTGAAATGTGAACAATGATGACGAAAGGCAAAATATGTCTAACCTATAAATATGTATTTTTCTTATTTGGAGTTAAGCAGTGAGAGAGAGCCGGATAACGGGTGTTTTTGTGGGGGGGGTTTAGGGCTGGAAGAAGCACGGCCATTCCTGTTACATGGTGACAGGTCAAGAACAGAGCTACGAAGATGCCCTGATGGGGTATTACTGCAAGGGTTCTCTTCTCACGGTGGAAAACAGGTGATTTATCAATTCATTTTTGAATTTGTAATTTTAAGTTTTTACTCACACTCTCTTGCTCCACCTGCTGGCAGGTTTGAGCAGGCGTTTGTCAACAGTCTGCTGAGTGAAAGTGGGGCCAAAAGTAGCATGTATTACTGGATTGGTCTCAGGGACCAGGACAAGGGGAGGAAGGGAGAGTACAGATGGCTTCATCATAACGGCTCCTCTCTGCCTCTCACCTTCACAAACTGGAATAAACACCAGCCAGGTAGCCCAGTGTTTGGAAATGTTTGTTTTTTTAATTTAACATTAGTAATAAAATAGATTTTTAAACATTTTCACTCATTTTTTTTTAACTCCTACATCTTCTGCCTTCACTAGTCAGCACCGGTGGCTGTGTCGCTATGTCAGGAGGACCTGCTTTGGGCCGCTGGGAGGTGAAAGACTGCAAGGTTCACAAGGCCTTGGCTGTGTGTAAGCAGAACATCAGGAGCTACCATGATGTTCAGCTGCCAGAGCATCACATTGATGCCTACGCCCCGTGCCCCCCAGGGTGGGAATCAAACTCTGGGCTGCTCCACTGCTTTAAGGTTAGATTATCCTCCTATTTTTTTTATCACACTAAACAAATCACCATGCACTCTATCTGATGTGGATATTTGCTTTTTTGTTTTGTTTATCATGCTAAGGGTCACTGGGGACGGTGTCCTATCCCATCATGCACTATGCAACAGGCAGGGCTACCTGGGGTCTCACACATTCACACTGACAGGCAATTTATTTTCCTGATTTCCAATTTCAACCAGCTCTACATTTAATAGTTATTTTCATTATCAGTTAAAACGTCTCCTATAGTATCTGTTTACTCCAGTTTACAGCTGCAAGATATTTACTTCAATACAATAGACAGATCCTAAAAGACATTTTAGGGTCTAGAGCTTATTAACTGTCTGTCGCTTGACTAATGAGTCGATTGGCTTACTATCCCAGCTCTGAAAATGCGTCTCAGTGTTTGTTTGATCAGTACTGCACTCACACACTGGTTTTACTGAAAACCCATCCCCCGGATGGCTATAATTTTGCTGTTGCCTGCCTTCTATGAACATCTTCTTTGAGCTGTTCCCTTATAAACGAGGGATCGCGGCATATTTGATTTAACACGTTTACACCACGCTGCCCTTCTGAAGCAACTCACAGCATGATCAGTGTCCCCCCCCCCGGCCTCAAACTGGAACCTTTAGGAAGTTAGGCAGATGTGTAAACCTCTTGTCTATCGCTGCCATACATCATGATTGCTAATAGCATTGATGTTTTGATATGTTTCCTCTCCTTCTTGTTTATAGAAAAAGGTGTGAAATAGCTGAAAAAATAGTTAAAATGCAGCTCATCTTACTATAAAACTGACGCAGCGCTACAAATCAAAAGCGGGATGGAATAAACCATTTTTTTAGACATAACACCCCACTGCCAAATTGTACCCCAGCTATCAGCATGTTTCCGAGCAACGAGCACATAATGGGATACATTTCTGTTCTTTGGACCCTGTAACCCTCAGCTGACTCCAAGTGTTGCTCTTCCAGGTGTTCCACAGTGAGAAAGTCCTGATGAAGCGCTCCTGGGTGGAAGCAGACTTCTTCTGTCAGGCCCTCGGGGCTCAGCTGGCCAGTTTCCAACACTATGAGGAGCAGGTGTTTGTTAAACAGCTCCTCGGTACCATGTTTGAAGGGTTGGTACTCATCAGTACAGGAATGTTATGGGACGACTGAGATGATTTTGTTTTATGTGCTTGGAGGAGTGAATATAGAGTTTAATTATTTGGTTTTGGAGAGCAGATGTCCACCTTTTTTTATGGTGTTAGTTGTTTAGATGTGTGTGGGAGACTTAGATTTGAAAAGTTATTTATCGCAGCAATCTCGATATCAAGAACAAGGACAAGGTGACCACAGATTCTGAAGTTACATCAGGGCGTCTTCATTTCCAGATAAGACTGATTTAACTCTCTGACGCATATTTCTCAGATTCACGTAAGAAAGACATCACTCAAATTAGAGATAATTTATCTCAGAATGTCTTTGGGGTCAGTTTGAATTTTTTTTTGGTTCATGTTTTCTTAAAAATATGTTTTACATTAAGCTTAAAAAATGAGCAGACACAAGTTGTAAAATGAGTTTCTCGTGTAGATCAGAGCAGTCCAGGACTTTGAAGCCCTGAAGTCATACATTTGTCTATTTTTACATGTAAACGGAAAAACAGTCATCAGGTTCTCATGTTTGTTTTGTGGCAGCAGCTCGGAAATATAAATATGAAACAAAGCCAAGACAGTGTTGCTAAGGGGGTGGGCTATGACTTCATTTCTAGGTCTTGGGAAAAAATGAATCAGGGTTTATTTTGTATGACTGCAGGGGATGAAACCAAAAAGAAATTAAGACATTCAAGTCCATTTTACAATCTCAGTTTAAAATAGCGCACAGCTGTCAATCTGATCATTACAAAAAACATACTTATCTATTTTATATAAATATTTTTACTGAGAGACAAATGTACATTAGTTTACAATGACAATACAATCTGTTCCCCTCACATATTTGTTAGTTTTTCTTACATGAACAGATACAATAATACACACACACACGCTTATATAAAATTGAGAAAAACAAACAAAACAAAAACTAAGAAGAAACCCAAAACAAACAACAAACCCCAAAACACACACACACACACAAAAAAAAGGGGGGGATGATATTAATCAGTTGGTAGAGCGTTTAATGACTTGCAATAGTTTACAAAGGGGCTCCAGATACGATAAAATTCTCTGTATTTGCCCTTCGCCACGAGGCCTATCTTTTGCAATTTAAGAAATGACATCACATCTCTAAACCAAAAAGAAACTGAAGGTGGCTTTGAAGATTTCCAAAGGAGTAAGATGCAACGTCTAGCCAAAAGTGATGTAAAGGTCAATATTTTGACGTGTGTAGTGTTGACTGGAAGCCCAAAAACAGCTAGAAAAGGGTCCGTGCAGATTTGGGTCCCAAGAGCCTTGGAAAGAATACCTGAATACTGACTCCAGAAGCCATGGAGTCTTGGGCACAGAAAGAACATGTGACCTAGGTCACATGGGGTGGCATGACATCTCTCACACTGATCCATCACTTGTGGGTAAATCTCAGAAAGACGAGACTTTGAATAGTAAACCTTGTAGCACCTATCTATTTTGATGTATATACACAGTTTTGTTTTGCACAGTGAAGACTTTGATGGGTTTTGAGGATTTTAACTGAAGATCATTTGTGGACGGAGGATCTTTCACTTCTAGGAGAACTGCCTGACTCTGTGGCAACAAACTGCACAATCCAAATAAGTTCGAAATGATGAGATTAAATCTACAGCTAAATCCAAAATATAAAACAAGGGAAACTGTTTCTCCTCACGAAAGCTAGACAGTCTTCCAAGGGGTGATGGGAGGAAAATCATTGCCGAATAGCCGAGTCCTAAAAGGTTAGAAGACCCGTTTATCTGTGGCTGTGTTTGTACTGTGCTTCTCTTTCTTCAGAACAGAGGCTCGTCGGTTCTGGGTGGGTTTAAATAAGAGAGACCCGGAATATGCCGGAGCTTGGGAGTGGTCTGATGGTTCTCCTGTGAGTTGGCAGAGACATTCACTGAGTCGCCTGGTAACCCATCAACGCTCCGTGGAGTGTTACAGATTTGTCTTTGTGCAGGTGGTGACGTCGTTCATTGATGATAAGAACGAGGAGGATGACAGGAGGGACTGTGCTGCGTACAGTGACCTGACCAACACGTTCATGCCGCAGCTGTGCGACTCCAAACATGAGTGGGTCTGTAAGCTGTCCAGAGGTAAACACGCACAAACACATTCACCTGCACTATCTACACGCACATGCTGCTTATACACACATCAGGACTGCATCATTTACCAAACTCTGTTTTACATTGCAGGTGATAAACTGAACAAACCCTACTGGTACACTGAGCGTAAGTAAAGATTGTCTTTAATTTCAACATTTGGGAACTTCATAGAGGGTTTTTTTTGTGTATTTACAGTCTGCTGCTGGGTACAACTACATCATTATCATGTGACCTGCTAGATTAAAAAAAAAAGTTTTGAGAGAAAGTGCTAACCGACCATTTAATGAGCATAACTTCAAGGCATGTTCCTAAAGAGTACACCTAGTTTGAGCTACATGGATGCCAGAATGCTATACTCAAATTTTATTTTGAAGTAGAGAAATCCAGCTCTGGCAGCAGGCTTTTTCTATATTTGTGTCATAGCCAGGAGTTTGTCTATATGTAGTCCTATCTCATTACGTGAAATTGTGTCCTGTTTCTGTGCTTGTCCTTGGCCACAGAGAGCGAGCCCTGGGTGTTTTACCGTGGAGCTGAGTACCTGCTGGCCAAGCAGCCCTTTGACTGGCACGCTGTCTCTCTGGCATGTCAGATGATGGGAGCCTATCTGCTGTCCATTCACTCCAAAGAGGAGCTCAACTTTGTCAAGGAACGCTTGCGGCGGGTATGTTACTGCCGCTGCTCATAGACATGGATTCTACTTTAAATCTTTAAATTCATAACCTGTTAAATTCGATTCAATTCATCTTTGTTTATCTAGCAAAAATCACAAAAACATATTGCAAGATAATTCAATTCAATTCAATTCAATTTTATTTATATAGCGCCCAATCACAACAAATGTCGCCTCAA